GTGTTCTTTCTGTTCCCATGTGAAGCATTGGTGAGACCTACCTGGTGCAAACTTTGTGATATTCCAGTGTTGCCATCATTGTTTTCAATGCATTTATGCCAATATTCATCTCCATATGCAGTTCCCTAGTCATAACCCGCTGGTTCACATAGCTGAGCTGATCAGCCAGGCAACAGCCACAAGTTCATTTCATGGTGTGACAGCTGCGGCTGGCATTCAGAATGTTGCTGGTCTTCCACATCGCTGTCACCACTGCTGAAACACACTATCCACCACCTCACAGTGCTCACGTCCACTGTTTGGTTTCCAAAAATATGTCAGTGAATCAGTGAATGTCAGTGGGTACCAGTTTTTCCACGTGAAAGAGTTCAGTGACACACCTTTGCTTCAGACACACTTCCATGTCAGACACCATTTTGTCAAACTGCCCTTCAATTGCCATCTGTCGCATGGCAACAAAATGGAACAGAATGTTGGGGGGGGGGGGTTAACCTCTACTACCATAGCAACAACATCTCCCTCTGATGTCATGGGCCAACATAATAAAATAGGAGGCATTACTTTCTGAGCAGCTCTTGTATATCTCTGAGTATTTTATGCAGGTTTAACCTTTACTGATTTATTTATTTTTTTACAATATGGAAACCTGTTAGTAAGTAACATTATTAAGATTATTAATTTACAATAATTTGTATTTAGGAACATAATTGTGGTTCATATATTTGGCAGACTGAAAAGTGAGGAAATTGTATATATCAAGTAAAACTCAGCAAGCTTTATGTTGGAATCCCTGGGCTTAATATAAGCTGAAAGATGAATGAAAGAAAGTAAATATGTTGCTTACATTTTCACTTGACACTGGCTGGACATGAATTGCAAATACTTTGAAGGATATCATGGAAATGCAAAATAATCTCAAGGGTAATGGACAGTTCTAAATGGAGTATAAATTTAGATAAATATTACATAATGCATTCAAGACAAATGGTATTATATAGAAGCATTGTTGCTACAGAGTGCTAGATAATGTTTAAGCTCTTCAGCCCTCACTATTCCCCCTCCAAGTCACTTTTGAGACATAAGTAGATGGAAATCTGCTTGTAACATGGCTGAAAGGGGACACAGTATGATCCCCTCCAAGTCTGTGCTTATAATCCCTTGAATGTGGCTCAGAATCCATCTATATATTTACCAATGCAACCAACCAGAGAAGAAAAAAGATACTAGTAGCAGTACCAGTTGCCCCACAGTCTAGAAAGCTTAGACTTTCAAAATCTGACTCTGATAGGAGTCTGAATGAAGTTTCTACTAATAATAGTTATGCAGTTAATCATTGATCTTCCAGCCCTTATTCTATCATGATGTAGGCTGGTATGTTTACAGATTCCACATACCATACCAGTGCTATGTCTGAACTTGTGGCTGTTGCTGGGGGTTCATTTTTTAATGTAAGTACAGCCTGATTCCTGTCACAGATATTATTGTGAATGCATTTAAGACTACTGTGAACTCGTCAATTAGGTGGCACACTGTCCCTCAAAATGTGAATTGTGTTTTTTGGTTTTTTTTTAATATTTTTATACTAGTTTGAAAGCTTGTAAGCACATCTGAGACATCTCATGGAATATTAATGCTTTCAAATAGATGCAAACATAAATAAATACACACAGCATTTCAGAAGTTGGTAATGTGTATTATGTGATGTAGTTGCTGAGAATTAATTTTCACAAAGTATCATCTGTTGAACTAACAGAAAAATCATCACAGTGCCTTTTTCTTCTTGTTCACTGGAATCTGAATGCATCATTGCAAAACACATCACCATCTTCCTATGCTGTTTTGCAGTTTGTGGATTGCTGCATACTTTCCTACATACTGTCTGTCTTGATGCTGAAACTTGAGATGAAATCTGCCTGTAGAGTGCATAGAACAGCATGTAAGGCAGAAGTCTTTTTTTGGTTGGGAAAGAGAAAATTGTTTTGGAGTTTCCTCTTCCAAAAGTTCTCATAAGCATTTCTTGTTACAGCAATAGGTGTAGAGTGCTCTGGAAAAGAGTTCTCAAGGAGAGGGTGGTTGTTCAAATGTGGTTGATTTTGACTTGATACACAACAGACTTAAATCCCATGACGAATTACTGAAAATGTAAAAAAAAACAGAAAAGCATACAGGGAAAGCAAGCATGGAAGTGAGAATGAGAAGAACTAAAAAAGTAGCTGAAACATTATTTGAGTCTGACAGAAGTGAGCGTGCAGGAAGTAAAAAAAAATCTGACTATATGATTGCAAATTGAAATAAAAAAGTACACACTGCCAGTTAGTAAAGTATCCTGACACCAAGGTGGTAGAAAGCAAATATCACAAAGTGAAAAGCACATGTTCACAGCTGGAATGCACAGCTCTGTTAGATACAAAAGCCAGATTCTGCCCGTTTCTTCTGTTCTTTCTCTATTGGCCAAGTATTGTGCTGGTGCTCACTGAAGAGGCCATTAGGGTGATGTCTCAGCATGACCATGTGCACACATTGTTTGGCTGGCAGAAAGTCTGCTTGGGAGCATGGACACCGTTGCTGCTCTTCTGTTTCTGCTCTCCTGTAGCTCATGCTGCCTCATCCTGATCTGCTAGGGCTCCTGACTGCCAGTACGAAAGCAGCAGAAGAGCAGGAAGTGATAGGTTAAAAAAAAAATGAAAGCTCTGAGTTAGGGCAGCTAAGCAAGGCAGCGTTCATTTACCTTCTGTTCCCGTGTGTTCCTACTGTGGCTTGCTTCCGCCCAGCTGCATGTGGCCAAGCATCACTAGCTCATTATCTGTGTCTCCATTCAGTGCCTCTGCCACTTTCATACATGCTTAGGCAGGATGTGTCATTTGCTTCTTGACTATAATACTACAGAAAATTCACATCAATAAACAACTGGCAGTACAGTTTTCCAATACTGGTCATTTAGTATGTTAGCTTTTAAAATGTCTACTGCAGCTGTGACAATAGCATTAGACTGTTTTTACATGAGAATTGTCTGGTTGTTCTGTGATCACAATAGGATGATCAGAGTCTAGTTTATCCATCTGCAGACATTATTGTCTCATAAAACAGTGTCCCAGTGCTATGATTGCTTCATTAGGTTTATGCTACATAGACATAATTATGCAGGAACTAAGAATAGCTCATCTAATTGAAAATAATGATTATAGAGAAAGAACAGTTTTGATTACTGTTACTAAGCAAGTACATACTGTACAACCATTCATGAACTGCACAGAGTACATATGGGATTATACAGTGTGTTTGTTTTGATTAACAGTTTCTTTCCTGATCCTGACTACAAGTTAAAGGTGTTGTTGTTTATTTGCTATTATAATCTTTTTTTTAGATACCTAGGGGGACCGATGAGGAGGCAACTTGAGCTGATATTTTTCCATTAAATTATGACAAGCTAACCTTTGAAATAACATTCAGCATTTATCCCCATACATATTTTAGGGAGGACATAAATAAATCTTCTCCAGGCACCACAGATGAAACTGTGGGATTTTTTTATGTCTGTGTTTATACTAGAACCCTATGGGATTAAGCATCTTTTTAGAAATGCAAAGTCTACCACACTGTTAATCTCCTACTCATCCAAGTCAGTGCTAACTTGTAATTCTTCCTTTGTCTAAAACACACAGAACTTTTCTTTATTCCTTGAAAATAAAACTGAATTTTTAGATAAAAGTAATAGAAAATTTGAGGGTTTCATTTATTTTATTTCTTTTGAATAATATTGCCAGGCCCATGGGATACAAATGGTTGCTTTTATTGTCTTCCTAATTTACTCTTACTTCAATTTTCAGCAAGAGCACAGTAAGAAAACTCCTGAGATGATGAAATTGAATATAACTGTTTCAGAAATGTTATGCATATCTTGAGTAGGTCTGAAAAACTGCTGTTTTTGCTATGTTTAGCTTCCCCTCGGTTCTAATGAACCATTTTATAGCTCTAGGCTATCCGCTAGCACTGAAAGACGCAGCGAGTGCTGCTATCAGGGATTTTTAAACAGATGACCATTTAAAAATGAACTGATGAAGGAAGATGGGAGAAAAAGCAATGCCATCACGTAGTAACACAGCAATCAATTTGTGCAGTCTGAAGTGAGAGGCATTTGCACAAGCTATTCTGAAGACTTTTTAAGAAATAACAGAAGGAAAAAAAGGGAGAAGCTGAGGGCAGATTACTTCATGAAAATATTCTGAACTGTTTTCTTGACTTTTGAAAGTTGCCTTTTCCACACTGTTTTGGATTTGAAATTCAGTGAATTACAAGAATGTAAGCATGGTAAGTCCCCATTTATACAAATGCCTATTGAAGACATGAGTTTTTGATCCCATTCATTTCCAACATAGTCTGACTGTGGGAGACATTCTCAAATTTTTGGGCCAATGTACCACAATTTTGCTTTTTACCCAGCATTGATCATTAACTTTGAAATCGTATCATAGAATCATTGAATCATAGAATGGCTTGAACTGAAATGGATCTCAAGTATCATCAAGTTCCAACCCCTCTGGCACAGGCAGGAAATGTTGTCAAAGTGTTGTGGTTTTTTTAAAGGCATTCTGCAGTCTCTCAGAAGATTGTGTGTCCTGGTCTCAGAGCTCCCTGTTCAGGAGTGTAGTGTCCCAATCTGACCTCCTGTACACTTTGTGTTCTGTGTGTTAGCATTTGACCGTATAATTATCATCTCTGTTTCATTTGGATACTTGTTGTTTTCCTACTTAGAAAGTCTATAAAGCTGGGTTGTAAATTGTGTATCTACAAGTAAATATGATACAAGGATGAGCAGGGCTGAAGAACTGAGAAGAGTAATTTGTGTGCTTCGATTTGCAGTTGTAGAGAGCATGTAGCCATAACAATGTACTGTACAGTAAAGTGTACAGTAGCTAAGGGAAGCAATACTTTATTCTCTCATTATTGGTGCAACACATAAAAGACTCCTCTGCATATAACTTGTTTTCTACTCTGTACAGAACTGCACATGCAAGAGCTAAAGCTGATGCTGCGGATCAGGCTGCTCAGTCTGCTCGTCAGGAAAGTGATATTGCAAGAGCAGTTGCCAGAGAACTTTCACCAAATTTCTACCAACCAGGTAATTATAGATTGCTTTTGGTTTGTGGCCAGTCTTTGTTCCTCACAGTAAAATGATTCTGTGTTATATATTAAATATTATTCCATTTTGATAGTTGTCATTTTTTCAGAAACAGTAGTTAGGTAGTGAAGATTGCATGCTGCCCCAGATTTTGTTTTCATTTTTTAATTATTTGTTAATATTGCTTTGTATTAAAAAGTGACAAAAAGTTGGAATCAGGCTTACAGCTTTGGCTGGTTAATAGCTTATTCAAGATGATACCAACATAAGACATCAGAGAACATAAATAAACAGAAATTGAGGTTTCTATAGTGTTATTAGGGAAAGGGTTGGGGCTTACAGGTCTTACAGTCTACCTTTGTATCCAGGTTTAAATGTGTCTTTCTTGGGTGACCTTGTGTCACATGGGTGACCAGAATTCTAGACTATGCTCTACAGAAGTATTTTGAATAGTAAGATTTTATAGGCTTTAACGTGAGATCAGTATGTACCTTTCACTGTTGGAAATCGCTTCTATACATCCTTGTCTCTGGATTCATCATATTAGTGGCCCATATTTACTCCCATTATACTGAAATTGTTTTCTTTTTTGCATTATTTCATTCTTTTATCAGTTGATGAACTTCCAGTCTATAGCAGCAGTTCATCTCATTAGTCATAAGTCAAGAAATCCTAATTTTAGTCATGCTAAGAATCACAGAGTCACAGAATAGCCTGGGTTGGAAGGGACCTCAAGGATCATGAATCTCCAACCCCCCTGCCACATGCAGGGCCACCAACCTCCACATTTAACGCTAGACCAGGCTGCCCAGGGCCCCATCCAATCTGGCCTTGAACACCTCTAGGGATGCGGTATCCACAACCTCTCTTGGCTGCCTGTTCCAGGCTAAGAACTAATAGTGGGGACCCTGTGAAAAGAGAACTTGGTTGAGGATAAAAATGAGGGAGTTAAAGCATCTGGATTGAAAGTATTTCAAAGCTGCTAAGCCCCTGAAATAAAGAAATGGCTAGAGGACTCGAGAGAAAATATAAGTACATGATGGTATGAAATGCGACACCAAGAAATTCATCAGAAAAGGTTTTCCTTTGTGCTAAGTTGTCTTGAAAATAACTTGTGGTGGGAAAATATAATTTTTCTCTCTAAGCTTAAAGAGCTTTGAGTGATCAGGAGGTAAGCTGTCAGTAAGGAGTAAACGTACATAGCAAATCAACAAAAAAGAGAGAAAATTTAAAGTACATACACTTTTCTGTAAAAAAGTTTAGCATTTCTCTCTAAAGAAGTTATTTCTGCATTACCTAAGGTGTAGATGCATTTTAAATAAATATGAAAATCTTTGATAAAGCTCTCAAATTTCAGATTTTTAATATGAGACACTCTGGGCTATATATCCCAGTATTACACACAATTTATAATTACAGTGAATATTCATAAGTCATTGTACCATGACAGTTCTCACTTCCCAATTGCTTTTCTCTCTCGTGTTACGTTCATTAAAACATTCATCAAGAACTGCCAAGAGGTTCTAGCTTTTTAATGTAGCTCGAAATGAGATTGAAATGAGAACAAAGTGGTAGGAAGCAAAGTAGCATTCAGTAGGTATGAATAATAGTGTCAGTCTGAATCATGAAGATTGAAGCACTATAGAAATCTTCAAATTTAGTTTACCAGTAAATAATTACCTTAATATTTGCATATTGGGAAAGCAAGTATGATTGGAAAGATCTAAGCCATAGTCTAAGTGGTCATAAGCCTACAAGGAGCTGTTTCATGTAAGCTTATTCAGCTGGGACTCAGGAAAAATTTTCTACTTCTACTTTAGCTGTAGCAGAGATTTGGCTAGTGATTGATAGCTATAATGATGGCATATCTTTGCAGAGTGCTACCCACAAGGCTGTAGGTTTCGTAGATTGAACAAGTGTTCCAGTCTTCATAGAGACCAGACTTTACAGGCCTTTTTATTACCAAATAAAACAAATTTTGAGAAATGCCAGCGCTGACCTGTTTGTTTCCTCCAGGCATCACTAAACTTGCAGATGTGTCAGAAAAGAGCATATCAGGACAGGAAACAAATGAAACCTGAGCCATTTTCTCATTCAAAGGAGTCATCTAGGGACAGTTTGAGATTTTCTTTGCTTAGAGAAAAACAATAAAGGCTGTTTTGTGTTACTTGTTAAAGCCTAGAGAAGGGTAAATGACTAATGGAAGATGTAATAGAAAAAAAAAGGCTTTTGGCACCCAGTAAAAAGGGGGAAGATTGTTCTAATCTTGAACAAGTTTAATGGATGTGACTGACCTATTTATGCTAAATTCTACAAGGCATCCCTAGCATTTACTTTGTAAACATGCTGTCAGGAGGTAAACTAAAGTATGAACTTACACAGGCTGGACAGCTAAGCTGTAATTGTCTGTATGCATACATATCCTGCAGCAAATGTATGCTGTTCTTTCATTCAGTTTGAATGAATAACATTTGATTACATGAAAGAGGGTAAAAGTACTTTGCTGCAGGGTAAGAGTCTGGGCACTTTACCATGGAGCAATTAAGCTCTGAAAATTCAAATCTGAATTGTTTTATGGCAGATTATTTGTCAAGCCAACCAGCTGCTTGAAGAATACACACTGCTCACCAGAAAATTCTTCCAGCCTTTGACCTCCCGCGCAAGGCATGAGAGCAATCAAGAAGCAATTTAACAGTTAACACGTGCTAGAGAAGTGAACAGAATTTTAGATGAAATATATGAACAGCAAATGAAAATTTTCTAATAAAAGGAATTATTAGTATTTACCACCATTATTTCCTATAATGTTTGGGTACTGTTACAGCAATAGTATTACTTAATATTTTGCAATAAAGTTTCAGAAATAAAAGCATTTCAAGCAGTAGGAAATTTCTGCAGATTTCTAATGTCTTAAAGAGAAATTGTATTTTAAACTTTCTTTTGACCAGATGTTGATGTCTGTAACCTCGGAAGAAAGCACATCCTCCCCATCTTCCTCCTCTCTGCCGTCTCCATCTCCTCCAGTTCACTAAATGCAAACTCCATATGGACAGGAAGGAGAGATTTCTTCCTGGTGTTAATTAACAGGAATGTTCTGGCTAAGCGCATGTGGTTGAGGCCAGATATTTTTATTTAAGAAGCCAATTACAGTGAACATTTTTCCCTGATTAGAGTTACCAGCTATGCTATCAATTTGTGCCTTAAAGCGTAAGGAAGCTCACTAGTTATTCTTAGTCATATATAATAAGTCTTTTCAGTTTTTTAAGTGATTTGACATACTGCTACATTATCCTCATGCAACTGGTGTCTAGATTCTTCCTGTGACACCTCTTCTCTACAATTTATTGCTTCCATCTTCTTTTTACACGTCTGCAGAAGTCTACAGAAGTATACAAAGGCACTGGAGTTGTATCTGACAGTCAAAGTAATAAGTTGGGCTAAAAGAAAAGGTGGGCTTCAAGCATTATTCTTGTTCTGTTCTTTCTTTTTCTAACTATTGGCTAGCCACATGCCTTCCAAATTTCTCACCAATCCTGCCAAGTCCTAAATATGGGTACCCCCACCCACATCATTTGTCCTGCTCAGTGTGAGGACTTGTTGGCATTCTGCGTCCAACCCGCCGCACTGACAAACACACGTGCTGGCTTGGCTTACTCCCCAAACCTCCTGAATGCACATGGGACAAAGAGCAGGCTTGGGAGAAAGCAAAGGAAGGAGAGGTTGCAAATGAACCAATTTCATTTTTCCAGGATTCTTTCTAAGTTTTTCCAAAATAATTTTGAGTGACATAATGAAGTGACTTGATTAGGGGGGGGAAAAAAAAGCACATAATTAACTTTTTAAGCTAATAAAAGAGAGCCAATTTCCTGTAGAGAAGTAAAGCTATTGAAATCACTGTAATTTTGTCAGGCTTCTATTAAGTATTGAACTAGTTAATTTACATCTAGATACAACTTGTGGATTGCCAATAAAGGCTATCAAATCTGTCTGCAAAGCTAGCTGGACTATCAGGCAGCTAGCCTGAGCTAACTGCAGTTTTGTCACTGTTAAGTTGCTATCCTGAAATACCTTCTTAAAAGCTAGCCTTAGGTATACCTCTCTGAGCTGCCACTATGGGAAGTATGAAAGAAGGAGGATGGTGCTACCTTAGAGTTCTAATTGCCTCCTTTTTCCTGTTCAAAATTACTCGTTTGCCCCCAAAAAGAAGCACGAACTCCAGGACACAGAACTGGACCACTACTGTCCTACTCCAATAAATTTCTACATTGGTCTGTCCAGGTGTCCATTAGCCAAGGACAAGATGAATTAGGGACAATCACATGAGAGTATTATCACAGCAGTCAACATTTCCATTATAAACACTATTTATAACTGCATCATAAATATTTGTTGCATGTTGAAGTTCAGCTAACAAAATCTATACTGTGAAAACTTCTCTTACAGTGTGAAATTTCACCAGAGGATGGTAATTTATTTTAAAAGAATTTTATTACACTAGTGCATATTTGAATTATATTGAAAAAGGGTCTTATTTTTATTTTTTAAACACACGATATGGGTTACACAAAGTTGTTGGTACATCCAGTTCTACTCAACCACATCAATTAACACTTGTTGCTGAACTGTGGGCTCTTTTGATTTTGTTTTTACAGGAAATGGAGAGTTAGAGATGTATTTCAGAGGAAACGGTAGAATGCTAGAAAAAAAATCTTTACAGCTGCATTCCATCTTTGCCAGTGCATGAAAAATAGATGGCTAACACGCAGAACATTTTATTCAATGAAAATGTGCAATACAGCAGAAGTAGTGAGTGTTTAGAGAGAGAGATCTAAAAAAGGCGTACGGGATTCAGATTATAGACCTGAATAATGTAGACAGGTGTAGTATTTTTTAGAATGATGTAGAAGATCACAGTGAGAATTTGGAGAGAGTGAAGATTTCTAAATTTTAGTCTTGTTACAGCTATTTACTCAGATCTTAATCTAAACAGATGGCAAATA